CAGAGTGGAAATCAGGAATGGTCTTCACATGTGAAGTCTCTGATCCATCTCTGAAAAAGGTTGTCAAAAAGGAAATCAGTGTCTGTTCAGGTAAGCATAGGAAATCCAATAAACAGCACCACTTACAAATGTTTTTCCTCCAGTAATGACTAAATGCCATATCAGAAGCTGAGGATACTTGAGCCATGAAGATATATAGGTTTACCTTTTGTTTGCATGTTCATTTGTTTTCTTCTTCGGTATCTGCTGCGTAGTTTAAGACAGTTCAAGGCAGGAATATTAAGTATTTAGTTAATAAGCAACTAGACTTCTTTTCTCTACTCTAGAATAGATTTAGCCTTTCACCAAACAGGCTTTTCACTTCTGACTATTGTTCTTCAAAATAACATGCCTTTTGGTTATATCAAGTTGTACATTAAGACTGGCAACAAAATTATATCCCTATGCTTATCTATGGAAGTCTACTTTTAACTATGTTGCTGCCTTGTGGTCATCGTTTTTCTTCTGCATCTATATTTGCCACAGTAGACACACTGGGATACACGGGTACATTCATAGCTTTCTCAAAAGAAAATTTAATTGTATTTCAAGTATGAGATGGAAAGACGGTTGTCCAATAATATGCAGATCTGTCTAAAGTAATGGTGGTCGTAGTAGCGGATCATGTCTAAGACATTTCTTGCCAATTACGACTGTGTCTGATATGAAAATAAAAGTTCAAAATTATGTGAGATTCAAATATGAAACATTTTTCTTGGAACCAACTGCAGCTATCAGTTGGTTAGTAGGATCTATGTGGTTTTATATGTGATGTGATGTGATGTGGCACCTCTGAGCTGAGCAACAAGAACTGCAGATTTTAGATAAAGATGCACAAATAATTTTTTTCTGATCCAATCCGATACCAATACCTGAGCTGAGCGTATCGACCGATATCGACCCTACTCAATAGGAACCATATAGTATCTTGCCATGTGAGTGAAGGATTTAGCGTTGATATAAATATTTGTAGAAAATCTATCAAGTTAACACAGATATAAATTTGCTTTATATTATTTGTTAAGAAATTTGGAGCAAAAGACAGAAACAAAAGTTCCATGTAAAGTGCGCTGGATTTGATCTTTGATATCCAATATCGAATCACAGATATCCCATCCAGGTTTAAGTCCATGCTTTTCACAATTAAGGTAGCTTTTATAACTTACTTAATGCTGTTGTAGATGAGTCTGAGTGCTATCCATTTCTTGTATATATTTAGAGAGCTGCATCTGAGCTGAGAGGCCTAAAAAGGGTATATAAAGTAACCGATCACTTTTTGCTCATTCTATTGAGATTTTACATAATCGTGTTTCTTTTTTTTCTTTCCTTTTAGTTTCTTCAAGCACACCTCCTGTCATTGAAATTGTGAATCCAGTTTTTGCTGTTGTAATGACACAATCTTCTGTGAAAGCTATTTGTCTGGTTCACACTTCTCTGAATGCCGAGGTCACCTGGCTTTTGGATGGAAATGCTCCTTCGAGGCTGACAGAGAAGGTTAAACAGGTTAAAAGCAGCTCTCTTATTACCAGCAATGTGGAAGTTCCCAGTGATAAATGGAGGAAGCTGAAGTCAATCACATGCAAAGCACAACATACATGTTTTTCTTCTTCTGAAAAGACAGTAACTGTAACAGGTAATGCAACTTTACAAGTAACATATTGCATTGATAGTATGGCTGAGATACAGAAGCATGAATTCTTGTTCTGTCTTTCTTTCATGACCCAGGTTCTCCAGTTAGATCTCCACAGGTGGAGATAAGAAGATCTTTCCCAGACCTGCTAAATGGAACTAGCAATGTCTTCCAGTGTTACATCTCACAGCTCTCATCACATGACCTCTTTGTCACATTCCAGACCAATGGAAAGAATATTCCAGAGCAATTTTATGTCAATCTTCCTGAAGGCCCTGTCAATTATTCAGTCAGTAGAAAATTCACTGTTCCCATGGAGAATTTAAAAAACAACCCTGATATGACCTGCACAGTGAACCAAGGATTCTCCAACAGCTCCTTCAAGTCTAACACCATAAGAAATATATTTGGTGAGAATGTTTTTAAATCTACTTGAACATTATATATTACAACAAATTTTTTTATAATTTAAATGTATACATTTTTCAAGAGACATTAACAGTTTGTGGATTTCTGTGAACAACTTTTTAGTGCCACCCTCTGCTGAACTCTATCTGGACTCCATTAATACATCGGATAAACAAACACTCCTGTGTTCTGGATTGGGCTTCAACCCACAAATTAAATGGCTGAATGGCTCAGACCAGATAGTTACAGCGAATAATGACATCAGCATTGATAGAATGGAACGCGCTTCAGTAACAAGTCGACTGCAAGTTCCTTTGTCAGAGTGGAAATCAGGAATGGTCTTCACATGTGAAGTCTCTGATCCATCTCTGAAAAAGGTTGTCAAAAAGGAAATCAGTGTCTGCTCAGGTAAGCATAAGAAATCTAATAAACAGCACCACTTACAAATGTTTTTCCTCCAGTAATGACTAAATTTCATCTAAGAAGCTAAGGATAATGTTTATCCTGTGTCCTGTGTAGTTTAATGATGAGCTGGAAGATCTATGTGCATATGTGTTGGCTTATGTTGGCTATGTGGATTGTTAGGTCACATATCCAAGCTAAAATTTAATTGTAAGGGTCTTTCTTAATTTTGTGCTTTATACTGTAATTTATTTTTCCCTCAGTTATGGCAAAATCCTCTCATATGGCTGCAGTCTTCATTCAAAGACCTGCACTTGAGGAGCTTAAAAACCGGGGACAGGTGACGGTTGCTTGTCTTTTTGTTGGAACTAGTCTAAGCGACTTCTCTGTAACCTGGGTAGTGCATGGTCACCAATCTTCACCAAGTCACATCTATACAGAAAGACCAAAAAATCACAACAATGGGTCTGAAACTTTGCACAGCTTCCTCAACGTTTCAGCTGAGGACTGGTACTCAAATAAGAGAGTATCCTGCGTGGGAAAACACCTTTGCTCCAACAAAAGTTATGCAGAACATATCAGCAAAAATATAGGTATAATATGCACAATAAGGACTATTTAAAATGGTTGCCTGAGGCATAACTTAAACAGTATTAACCGTCTGATTTGTGTGTATATTTCCAGATCTGTATCAGCCAGTTCTGAGGATATTGAAACCAACTTTTACTGAGCTATATATGTCGAAGAGCATTATGATTACATGCTTAGTTTCAGGGTTTTTTCCATCTGACATAATTGTTCAGTGGAAAGAGAATGGCCAAGCACTTCCAGTTTCTCGCTATATTAACAGTCCATCATGGAAAGAACCAGGAACCAGCTTTTTTTCAATGAGAAGCAGACTAAATGTAACTAAGGCAGAGGACAATAACTCAACATACTCATGTGTTGTCAGACATGAATCGTCTGAGGCCCCAGTTGAAACCAGCATAAGTGACGTATTTGGTAAGCTAATCACTAATCACTTTTCAGAAATCATACTTTTGATCTCCAGTTTATTCTAAACAGACTGCAACTTTTCTCCCAGCCTCTGTGACCTACACCAAACCTTCAGCTGTATTGCTCCAGGGAGAGGATGAACTAGTGTGCCTGGTCTCAGGCTTCAGTCCTCCAGCCATTAATATCACATGGTTCCGGAGTAAAACCACAGAACTGTTCGACTACACTTTAACAGAACCTTCTGAAGGTCAGGATGGAAAATTCATCATTCAAAGTCACCTTCGTCTGGCTCCAATTGACTCCCTACCTGGTGTGGTTATTACCTGCCGTGTCACGCATGAAGGCACCACACTGTTATTGAACATGTCCAACCCAGGTATGTTAGCAACATATTTATGAGTATTAAACAGTCATTGTTTTTCTAGTCAGTAAAAGGAGATAATTAATAAAACTCTGTTTCACAGACTCACTGGAACACTGTAATTTTTTTGATGCTATCAAGGACGTGGATGTGGGTGAGGATGCGTTAAAGGAAACCTGGTCTATGGCATTAACTTTCCTCTGCTTTTTTCTCTTCGCCATCATCTTTTCTGTTGTTGTCCTAATTATCAAGGTGAGGTTTAGTAGCAACTGTTGCAGCCCTGCTGTTATGTATAGTTTTACATTGATTAAACTCCCTTTTAAGATGAGTATAACATGTTTACAGCATTTATTTTCTTCTTTTTTCAGACCAAATAACGCCAAGCAAAGAGCAACTTTCATCTCACTGGATGGCACCATTTTAGGATTTCTGAGTTTGTGTATTTTGATACCGTAGTTTTTTTTGTTTTTGGCAAAATGCATGTGTGTTTATTTGTACTATTTTTCTCTAGTTTATAGGAAATCTTTTTTTTAAGCGTTGCAGGAAAAAAAATTTTTTGTTTATTTGTTTTTTTTTTTTTTGGTGTGGGATTTGTATAAATGCCTTTATGATTAATAAAGTGAACAATATGCAAGGATCTATGATCGTTTCATATTTGCTTGTGATTTTTTTCTGTCTTCAAACAATGTCCACAAGAGGGAGACAAAGCTTTGAATTTAAAATTTCCCATTTCAACATGTAACAAAGAGGCCATGCAGTTAGATGAAAAAAATCACAGACCTCAAGCTATTTTTTTGCTAAGAAAGAAAAAGAATGAATTTTAACTTACTGAAAAACTAAAAAGAAATTTATGTTTCCATGAACAAATTCTCAGTTGGTCCGTGTACACATTCCCAGTTATTCTCTACCTGAGGCCTCTCCTTGACTTTGTGTAGCTTGTGGGTTCATTGGAATCTATATCTAGTGGATGACACCAGGATCATCAAGGTTTACTATTGGCTAGTTCAGTGATCTGGCAGGGTTTGTGTCCCTGATTGGCTGGGAATCCTGTGGCAGTGGCCCATATCTGTGACGCTGTTGCTGGGGGGGAGTTGCATCGTGTTGCTGCCAGTCTTGTGTCAAGGGGCCAGTAAGAGGGAAGCATGGAAGCATCTCCCTGCCTGAAATATTTTGTCCTCTAATCTTCAACAAACTTTCAGATCTGGCAGTAATTCCTCTGCGTTATCAGGAAATCCTGTTTAAACTGCAAACTGACATCTTATACAAAAGTAGCAATAGTTTGTATGGGGAGTGTTACAGTACCTGAAAGCAAATGAGTTGCTTTTAACACGTCTATTTATTCTTGTTCACTCATCCGCTTTAATGTTAGATCATTCATAACCCAAAACACAAACTGCTGAGCAATAAAAGGTTATTTAAATTTGTTTTATGATGAAGCATTTTTATGATTAAACAACTTCAACTACCTATTGCTATTTTAAAATGTTTGGTTTAAACACCCAAGTACTTATCATATAACCTGGGGAAGAAGGACAAGAGATAACAGATAAATTCTTTTTACTTGCGGGGAGAGACCCGGCAGAGATGTCCTCAGTTACAATCTCCTACCGCTCTCTGAAGCACCTCTGCTGTATTCCTCGCTCAATATTGGTATAAGGGAGTCCCTAGTTACAATAGATCATGCCATAACTCTAAAGGAATTTGTGGGAAGTAGGTTGCAGCGTGATAAAGTGATACACATGCATTTCTTCATGCAGACTGTGACCTTGAGTTATACAACATGAGAAACATTCAGTTCCTGGCACCTGCAAAAAAATACTTTCCCCAGAGTCTAATAAAAATAATAGAAAGAACAAACAAGGTCAATACAGGATAAGATAAAATAAAATAGCTCCAACATAAAGCTATATTGGTCTAACAAAATATGTACCTATGCAGTAGAAAATATTTTAAGAAGACCTTTAGAAAATGAAGTGAGAGGGCGTCTTTTTTTTCCGCAGTTATCTTATAATCACATAATTTGTTCTGCTTTTAAAGAGACAGGCCTAAAGTTTAACATAGGGTAGTTACGGACATGATGTGAGCTGTAAGATTCCTCCTTGTGAGCTAATCTGCAAAAATACCGGATAGTTGTATTGGTAGAGATAGGGAAGCGTTGCCTGAGGCATATGGCAGCTTTTATGCCTTATCAGCCAATATTAAGGCAAGGATGACGAGCAAAATAAAGGTAAATTTAGTTATATATGTACATATTTAATATTTTAAGGTCTTTCAAAGCAGGAGAAAAAAAATTATTAGGTATACAGTCACACTGGCTATGATTTAAAAGGCTGTGTCAGACACATTAATAATTAAATCACTAATTATTGCAAACCAGACAAAGCATAAAAAAAATGGCACAGCAAGTTCTAAAAATGAACATCAAATTAAACTATTAATTTCACAATGTAAAGAAAACCTAAGACTTAAGTGTATTCATAATTCGAAGTTCCCAAAATGTTGTCCAAGGAAGGGGACAAATAAATTGTCTAAGTCTAAGGACAGTTACTGCAAGTAATGAAAATTTAACCAAGGAAATAATTTAAACTAAAAAGTAGTTTGGCCAGCTTCTGACAGGTCAATTGAAAAAATTGTGATGCCATGACATGTCAACTGACAGTTTATCTAAAACATGTTTTTTAAAATGATTTGTAACAGTGTCATCTGGTGGTTGTGACTCTTATTACAGCTGGAGCAGAGGGAGTAAGACAGAAATAACTCTATGGTCTAAGGATGATTGCACAGGGAAAAAATACCACGGGACAGGAGGCAAGATAAAAAAAAACAAAAAAAAAAAAAACAATAACAATCACTGTAAAATAAACAAATCAATGTCAGTAAAATCCCTTGTCATCCTAAAATTAATTACCATACCTGGATGAGTTAAAAGCACAACCATGCAGTCCTCTGTTAAACCTGTAGTGGATGATTCAATACAACATCAGTCCACGGCTTATATTACTGCCTAATAAGGCAGACAATTTTCAGGAGTGACATTTTCCTCTGTGATTAGTCAACAACCATCCATGCCAATCATTATTTATATTTTTTGGTACAGGATTGTTCCATTTATTATATAAAATCAAAATACGAGGAATTACATTATACAGCTAAATAAAATCGAATACAGTTTGATATACTGGTCAAACAAAGTCACAAAGATAAAATTATTTTTGATTGTTAATATTTCTACAATGTACAAGTTGCAAAACATTTCTGAATTCCTTATCATCCTTATCATCCAAGGTAGACAGATAACAGTTGAAAGTTGAATAGATAAAAGCAAAGTCCAATAAAGAGAATTTGTATTTCTAACATTAAAATTATTTGCTTTAAATCCATCTAAATAATATCTTTCTGTCACTTTTAGAAATTTTTCCATCCCAACAGGGTCCATTCTAGGTGGCAAATTCAATTCAAAAATACTATATTAATACCAAGTCAAAATTAAATGTTGCAGTAACTCAATTTTTTTTTTTTTTTTATAGGTGTTGTAGATGTTGATAGCTGTGGGCAGGAAGTATCTGCATCGGTCTGTCTTGCACAGGATCTGATGAAGCTTCTAATTGAAGGCATATAAGAGGTGCAGACAGATGTGAAGGGGGCATCACCATACATACACATATTAATTTGTGGTTGCTTCATAGGATTGGGGTTAGGTGAGTAATTCTGTTCAGTGTTGCCAAATTTGGCAGGTTTCCAATGAATTGTGCTTGTTTTGAACCTTTTGGAGAGACAAATATAGATTTGGATTGGTTTTTAAAATCTAAGCTCCTCTTCAGAAAATTTGGAAGGTTTAGAAACCATTCCTTTGAAAATTATGTTAAAATATCTACCTTTGTATCACAGAAAAGTGAGACAATAGAGCATGTAATTTCTATTTGTAGGACATATTAGAAAGAACAGGATGAATAAGTAGTCTTGAAAAAGGAAAAAGATCAGCATAAGTTTACAAATCTCTTAAGGAAAGATCACGTTGATGTATGTAATAGGATTATTTTTTATTATTTAAAGTACATTTTATTACTTTAAAGAATATAGTAAGTTTACATATTTATTTTTCTTCTCCTTATATATTTATCAAGTCATTTTGACCAACACTCCTTACTGGTCAGTGGCGGTAAGGTATTGCAAGGTGCTGGTTGCCATCTCCTATTAAGTCTAGAAAGAAAAAAAAAGGCTACAATACACTGGAGGAGATTTTGAGTGATTTACATTTAAACTTAGGTTAGTACTTTTCTTATTTTGCAAATTTAACAACAACAATATTTTCTGATTGTCTTTGAGGACATAATTGCTTCACAAGCATTTTCAGTTCCTCTCAAAGTGTTTTGCAGGATTTCACAGGTATTGTTAGTTAGCTACGCCTTACCTCTCAGAAACTGACCACTTCCCCTGTTCCTGCCAAAGTCACCCTTCACAACATGTTGTAGGTGTTCAACTCAATTTATTTAGTAAGAGCCAATTTACAACCAGTGTAGTTTCAAAATGGTTAGAAAAAAAAACTTTAAGAAAAACAACTGTTGACAAGTCAGAACTGTTCGATCATATGCATGGATTCAATCAATCTGAATCTTTACATTTTAAAAACATCTTTCTGTCCATAAGTCTTTTCATCCATCCCGTCTGTCCATCCATCCCGTCTGTCCATCCATCCATCCATCCATCCATCCATCCATCCATCCATCCATCCATCCATCCATCCATCCATCCATCCATCCATCCATCCATCCATCCATCCATCCATCCATCCATCCATCCATCCATCCATCCCAAGTCTTTTACAGCATTAAATAGTAACACAGACACATTTGAACCTAAGAAGTAGAGATACCATGGTTTTGGACTATATGGGGCAGGCCGGAGGATTTATTCATTACGTTTCATATTTTTTTTAAAGATTTTTTATTCAAATGTATAACGAAAAAAAATGCTTCAAAGGAAAAACTGTTAATTCAATGAAGTCACTGAGGCAACTCCTTATACTATGCATAAATGGAGAGACAGTGGAGAAAAAAATTCTCATTAACACGAAGAAACCTCCACAATAGGAGTGTAAATAATAATAGTTTTGTATCGATCCAACAGATGACGATCTGATGCATCGACATGTCCACAAGAGTATCGATTCATGTTATTTTTATATCCATTTTCTCCTGGACTTAATTCTGACTCCCGTGCTGCGGGGGACCCTTAAACCTATTTTGCCCTCCAAGCCCGCTCCCTTTAGCCACTGCCCTCTTTCCGCATGCACACACACTCGCATAAACACAGAGGCATTATTATTTTTCAGTGAATAAGGTTTTAATAGGCCTAGGTGGAGTACAACTTTGCTGCTTCTGTTATTTTCTGTTTTTTCTCAAATAAAATGCATAACGATATTACAGCTTTCATTGATTTATTTGAAATTTGAAACATTGTCTAGCCTGTAAGGTAAAAATAAAAAAATTAACCAATTAATCATTTGAATCGTATCGTGGTGTATTCTTGAGTATCTAAAATAATCGAATCGTTGGGTCAGGAAGTTGATATTGAATTAAATCGCCATGATGGGTGTGATTTACGCCCCTACTCCAGAAACTGCAGCTTTCTCTAGAGGTTAGTAACATTAACAAACAAAAACAAAACAACACAGAGGCATTTGCAGCAGAATTTCATGTATAGCTTTAATCATTAGGATACAAACACAGAATAAAAAAGAGACAGGCATATAAAAGGATGAGAACATAAAGTTAATTGCAGCAGCAGCTTAGCTTATGCCCCCCCACCCCTCTAATTTCTCCACTAAACATAATACCAGGCTGTGAAGAGGCAGAAAAAGTTAATATGTAAAATAACAGCAGATTATTCTAAACTGGAGAGTTGTAGGAAATATAGCAGAAATTAGGAAGAGTGGTTAATATGTCCTCCAGCAATCAGGGTCAGTAGAATAATAACCTTTTACTGTAGATGTTGCAGCTTCAACACACCTTAGTCAAAAAATCTGGTCATTAGCATAACTCTTAAGAACCTAGTTTATGCCAAAGAGGTAGCTCAACCATTTGATTCAGTCTTTCCTCAAAATTTAATAAATAAATAAATTTGATTATGGTGTGGAAGCAGAGAAACATCCAAAATATGCAGGACACCAGACCTCAAAGACCCAAATTAAGGATGCCTGCTATAGGGAGAGGGTCTGCCTAACTTAAGCCACTCGCACTTGTTTTATTTTTTTAAAGGACAGTTTTATTATTAAGGTGTTACATGTGAGAAGTATAATTTTTTAAATTCTATTAACAGGGAGATGATAAAAAAGATACACTGGAAAATATATTCTCTCTATGTAAACTTCAACAACTTCAGAAACTCTTGCTGCTGCATTTAAGGGAATATTTCATAGTAAGAAAAATTCAAGAGTTCAGGCTTAAGGTAAGAAATGCATGATTTAGTTTTTCTGCATCACTCTTGCAAATGATATTTCTCATTTTGCCAATGTTTGGGATTTGGTAGAATGAAAGAAGGTCTTAGCAACCTGTTATCGTTCAAAGAATAAACCAAGAATCTTAACTTTTTAACTGGAGGCCAAATTAATAAAATAAGAGACAGGCCAATTGTTTTTCAAGAGTTTAAGGTCCAAAAAGGACAACTAGATTCTGTTCTAAATTGAGAAGATTTATGATGCCATGTTTTGCGATGGACTATGCTTTCAGTGAATATATTGTTTGTTTCCCCCCAAAAGTTTTGCATGAGGATGTTGGCGTAGTGTTTTGAGCAGTGCGCTTAGTCTAGTCCATCCATTTAGTTTTGTTAAAAATACTTTCTTGATCTCATCTAAGCAGAGCAACTTCTTCCATGTATTTGCTGTCTACTCTGAAGGATCTATTGTTATAAGGGACTTTAACATCTTTTTTTTAGATAACTGCATTCTACTTGAAGCTCCTATAGAGGCCAGAATTGTAATGCTCAACTCATGACTTATGTCATACTTTTTGTAGGTTTGAAGTCATGCCATATTCTTTTAAAATATGAATGATGAATTAAACAGTCAGACTGAGATTTCAGAAATTTGATCTAAGATAGATATACCAAGCTAAGGCTATCCTAATACTTTAAGATAGTAATTTAACAAATTTATAGATTTTAACATAATAAATTAGGGCTGAAATTTAACCCATTAATTGTTGAATTAATTGTTTACTGGTGTGTAGAGACTCTAAAACAGGCCTTTCACTTGCAGAGCAGCCCACTTAGGGCAGTAATTATACCAAAATTGTAAAAAAAAAATAAAAAAAAATTTAAACATTTTGCATTTAAGATAAAAATCTTTTTTGTCTGTTAATATGCTCTATCAAGAACTCTTAAAGTGGAAAAAAGTTTAGTTTCACCTGGTTTAATTTAGCAAAAAGTCTTCTTTAAGGAACCTTTGTGTCATGGTTCCTGTTTGTGGGTTAGTGTGAGTTGTGCATCTCTAGTATAAAGGATCTTTGTGGAGAACTTGGGTAGCTTACACAGGTGAAAGAAATCTTTATAATCATAGTGCTGGGCTTAAAAGAGCACCAGAGCCTTCATTCAGTGCAAGTTTCCTCTGTTTTGTAGAAGATGTTTAGTCTCTTGCTTCCCTTGAGTGTTTTTCCTGATGTTTATTGGTTTTGTTTAGTTTTCAGTATTTTTGTATTTTGGCCTCTGTTTCCCTCGGACTTTCATTAAACCATCCAAACTCATCTGTGCCTACTCCTGTCTGCATTTGTGTCCTCAAAACCTGCACCTATCTTGAACCTTTGGCTATCTGACTATTAATCGATTAATCAAAGAAAAAAAAATCAGCGGATTAATTGATTTGCAAACTAATCACAAGTTGCAGCCCTAGTATAAATGCTTTTTGCAATGGATGTTATTCATCTGAATAATGTTACAGTAATTGTGACTTGTGTCATATTGAGTACTTTTCAGCATTATAAGAATAACCAAGATGTGGATATGAGCACCTTACTAAAACGATAGACCTTACTCGTCTGTCATTTCTACCCAGAACAAGTTTCTTATAGTTTTTTTTATTAATATGGGTTGAAAAAGGAGTTAATGAGGGTGAGAAAACAAGGGGATAACTAAGGGCCTGTTTAAGCCACTATGCTGAAACACTAGACTGGACATAGTACAGATAATAAACTAAATAAAGGCTGGACTAACCTGAGTCAGTTTAAACCATACTGAAAGGTAAGGGTTTGTTGAGGTTCCCGACTGTACCCTGCATTTGCTCAGATGTTTTTTTTGTTTGTTTGTTTGTTTTTTTTTGTTTTTGTTTTTTGTTAGTGTATATCCCTGCCCAGGGCTTAAGTTAGAAAAAAGTGGCCTCACTCGGCCTACTTTCGCCCCTGACAGGCGTTAAGAGGGAAAGACAGACTGGGAACTAGTCCTTCTCATTGCAGCCTTTCTGCTGTGCCAATGCGCAAACTGTCTCCGCCGTTCAGGGATAGGTCTCTCCCCAAAATGAGGCTGCGCTCTCAACGATCATGCGATTGAGTGACGAGGACGTCATGCTCGCCTTCCTCCCTCCTCTGCTCTGTGCGATCAGTGGCTCTGTGTTCCGCAATCCCTCGGGATACTGTACCGCCCTCGATGGCTCTGTTATCGCCGTTTCTTTCGCACTGAATGGCCGGCTGGACTGAGGGGAAAAGGGGGGAGAGAGCGCCGCGTCTCCTCCTTTAAAGCAACGCTCCGCATCGGCTTCCCAGTGAGGGGGTGAGTGTCTCGCTTTATTTTATAGCCGTTGCATAGGGGGGTGGGGGGGATGATGATCCACCAGGAGCTGCGGAAGTGAGGGTCAAATGGGTCCAGCGGATGCAGGATGATTAAAGTTTTTAGGGGGTAACCAAGCGAAGAACGCGCATTTTTGAACTTTCAGATTGCTCTATCTCCGGATCAGATCGCACTACATGTTAAAGATCTACTCCATTTGCATCACCAAACTCTCATTTGGGAAAAAAGTCTCTTCCCAAATGGCTTTTCTTTTTAATACTCGGCTCGGTTTTGAAGAATCGTGCCTTGTTGTGCTCCCAGCGGCCCCCCCTGCGCTCCGTGGCGCACTGGTTCCGTCTGGCTCCCCCTCAGCTGCTGCGCGTCCTGGGATGACCTGTTGATGTCGGTAGAATGGAGGATGGCAGAGGGGGAGCCCATTTCCCCCATCATCAAAATATTCAGCTAAAAAGGAGACTAAAACCGGCGCGTCCCTCTGCGCGCACCTAACCCTCCTCTCGGGCAGTAAGTCCTGCTTTTGTTTATGTTTTTCTTTCTCAGCGCGGAAACGTGAAGCCGGGAGGAGAGCAGCTGGCTGAGCTGGGATGGTGCGCCCAAAATATTTAACAGTATTGTTAGCTTAGCCGTTAGCCACCTCTTCCTAGGCCTGCTGCGGATGGGATAGTGCATGCAACATTTCACATCTTCATCACAGTCTGGCATCTTTTTTAGAACATCTTTCCAGTGGGGCATGCATAGGCAGACATTCAGAAAGGAGCTTTAGGTCTATATGTCTGCGCTGCTTTGATATGACTAATCATTCATCAGTGCTGCAGCTGTATATGTCTTGACATGAGAGAAGCAGCACAGGTATGCAGGCATGAAGACATGCAAACCAGGAAATGCCTTTACAGAGGGGATCAACTGTGTTCCAGTGACTCTGCATTAATCATCCATGTTGCAGTGTAAGAAATGGAGGCATTTGTTGATGAAGAGCAGGATTAACTGGACTTCTGTGTTGTTATGAAATTACCTTTGCATTTTAAATCTGTGTTTATTCTCTGGCTGATGTTTTGTTTATCACTGTTGGGTTTGACGTCAGTTTGAACTTTGGCATTTCAAACCTAAACTGTACATTTCATCCTTTATTTTTCTACCAGATGCATAAACAAGTGATGCAGGTAGGATTTAAGGTTATGACTTAAATCAATACAAATCAAGGTAATCCCCATTGATCCGCACAGCCTCCATTCTGGGTCCCTGAGCAAGACCCTTAATCCCACACTGCTGCCGGGACACCACACAATGGCAGCCCACTGCTCCCTAAGGGGATTGGTTAAATGCAGAGATAAATTTATCCAGTGTGAGATCAATAAAGTTCAATTATTATAATTATGTATACCGGTAAATGAATCTCATGTGGCTGCATATTATTTTCAACCCACTTTAAATTGCACCCTACACTAAAAAAAATAATGCCTCCTCCTCCGCATTTAATTAATCATATTTAGTTACTTTAACTCAATTGTTTATGTCCTACCCTGCTAAAATGAAACAATTGTGTTAAAGTAACTAAATATGTAAATGCCAAAATTGGTTGCATTTTTTTTTAGTGTATCTCTATGTCCGTAAGTTCAGTTCTCTGTTCATTCTGATGAAACAGGAGTCACAAGCAAAATAATTGTATTTTTTATTATTACCATTATTATCGTTACATGTTTCATTAGTGCAGAGTATGAGGATACTATAGAAAACCTGATGTCAAATTTTCTGATATCAAAGCAAGTATGAAACATCTGTCTGAACCCAGGGGCTATTCAACATATACAAGATAGTTGATTAAACTAGGATTTTCCAGAAATTCTGACTTAATTAAGCCTCAACTTGGTTTAATCAAACCAATAACACATTAGTTACCATGCTAATCTTAGTTAATCCTTGGTCCTTATCTGTTCAGTCAGCAGTCACACTGATAAGACTGTGATTTGCCTTTGATCCCGTAATCTTATTTATGTGTTTCTTTTATCTGCCTGTATTGAGATACCACTGATACATATTAGCACCCAGTCAAGCAGCGTTATGGTAGCCAATACCATTATTAACTTTCTATTTATCCATATTGGATTGTTCTAAGTTTGACAGCAGGCCTTTAAAAGACTGTTAGAACATAATTAGAGGAGAAATGGCTGATAAAGCAGAAGAGGTATCCATGCTCTCTGTTCATTTAAATAGCTTCGGGCACATGTGTCCTGTTTTCCGTGGCATGTCTAGTTTAGAGTTTTTTTTACCTGGAATAGCTTTACAACTTTTCTAGGGATGGCATCCACTACCTGCACTAAGTGTTGGATCCTGACATTCAGATCAAGCAATATACAGAGCTATGGCCCATCTCCTTTTATACAGTAGAAGATGCTGAAAAACTCTGGAAAGCACTATTTGCCGCCACAACAAAAGTTTGTATTATATGATATTAAAACTATATATGCACATCTTTATAAGCTGTCTCAGACACAGAAGAATAAACCACACGAAGTAAGGATTCTAAAACATTGTGGGTTGCAGGAATATGACTACACATCAAAGAAACAACTTTAGAAAAGGCAGACCACCTTTTAGTCTTTTTGTACAAGATTCCGTTAATGTGTGGCACTGGACTGCACACATGTCAAGATAAAACACCCATCTAGAGCACATAAAGGTGATTTTGTTTTTTCAAAAATCCTGTCATATCATCAGGTTCTGGTGGGTCTACTGTCTGCCTACTGTCAAACGCATACATTGATTATGTGCATTAAATTATGTAAGCACATCTTGCTTCAGATGATCTGTGATGCTGACTGCAACTTCAGCAACATGGAGGCAAAGTGGCCTGGCTGAGTCCATGACTCCACCTTTTGTTTGTATCAAAGGCCCAGCTCTTCTGCTGCTGTGAATTTTGGGGGATGGTTGGCTACCCGCTGTGCCAGCCACATAGGTCTTTTTTAACACCTAAAATAGGTAAGAGAATGGTATACGAGTACGCTGACCCAGAATTTATTCTGTGTTCAGCTCTGTCCTGCTCCACTGCTAAATTCTCCACCCTCTACAAATTACAGTCAACATTTTATCCAGATATTAGCAATCTGCAAAATTTAACTACATTTAATCTTGACCTGTTACGACACTGTTAATAAAAAAAAAAAAAAAAGGTTCCATTTTTTTGGGCTGGAAAACAACTATATTTTGTGGTGTAAACCTAAAAAAATAAGTGTTAAATATAGGTACAATTGTTTAGGTCCAATCAGACACCATGGTAGTTGTGATTTTTAACATTATGAAATGAGAGACCAGTACTTATATCTTTACATTTCTGGTTATTTCAGGAGGTGAAAGTTCAGCTAACGTTTAGATTATGGCTGTTAATACCCACCTTTGAAGTTAGCTTTTGAGTTAGAGGGTCAGATGTTCTTTCACTGTTTAATTTTGACCATGCAAACTTCTGCAATAGAGATGCTGTTTATCAAAATAAAAGATCTTTTGTAAAATGGCAACAAAGCTTCAGATTTACTTAATTCACTGCAAGCTATAGTTAAGTTACCAGTAGTCATGGTGTGGAACCTCCAAAGTTTCATGGAGTAACCGCTAACTGGGGTCTGATACTCAGACTGTTACTGACTGCCTGAAACAAACTTCCCTACTGTTGGACGATAATCTCTAAATGGGAAGTATGATTCTTAAATAAGAAATAAAACAATTATAGTTTATTCAATATCTTTTTAAGTCACCACAAATTTTAGACAGGTTGAAACAATTTAGAACAAGAATTTCTTTATTAATCCCCTTTGGGAAATTATTTTCTTGCAGTTCAACCATTTACAGAAGAGAAAAAAATAAGATTGTAAGTACTATAGAACAAAATAAAATAAAGCATAATAAGTAAAATTTGTAAAATTACAACCGACACATTAAAATGACACCCTTCCCATATAAACAGTGGAAAATAAGATACAAGAATAAAATAATGTAAAGATAAGAATAAAATAAGATAAAGGATTCAGTATTCCACGTTACAATAAAAGAATTCAAAGCTTGGCAAAGTTAAAAGTAAAACTTAGATGGCTTGGCTGAACTTATAAAATAAAAATTGCCTTAAAATGTTAGATTTTTTTGCAGTGCAGATCTCCTTTGGTTCAGTCATATTGGTTCTGTATACATATTGATAAGATAAATATACTAATTATAAGATTAAAATAAAAAAAACTTACATCTCAGCTGCTTGACAGAATTTTTTTTTGTCAGATACCATTATTGATGCAACCAGGCTTCAGTCCTAGGTTCCCTACATTGAAGTCGAAGACTTAAGTTTCTACACCACAGAGGAACCAAATCAAACTATCACCTGTCAGACTTGCACATTATAATATTGACTTCCACTCCCAAGATTAAAGTTCAGTTTAGAAAATTACTACTAACTCCTTAAATTATTATGTTTTCAGTTAAGAGAAGTGATTAGAGAAAGTGCATTTTAGGCTGTTTGGGTAATAAGTTGATATGCTATTGTTTACTGCATCAATCTATGATCGAGCTCATGGTCTTTGAAGAAATCTGCACATGCATTTATCTGGATAACTTATACCTGGCTTGACAGCCACATTTGTTGAGTCTGGATTGTTCTTTGTGCAACTTATTAGTCAGGATGCCCACATTATGCAATAGGTCAAGCCTGGCTTCATGTTAGGCCTGGATTTCTAAATACTGCTTTAATGAAACACCTGTCTGCTTGTCAGAAAAATAACCAAAACTGCAAATATAGAAAATAATACAGTGGAAAAATAGAGCTTTGACAAGCTTATTTTGGGTCCTCATTGGTTCATTGTTTTGCCCACTTCTCAACAATGCCTTACAATTGTTGTTTCCTAATTTGATTGCATAGACTTAAACAAAAAGTTTAGTTTTGGATGTTTATAGACGAGCAGATATATCCGTAATGCTTTGCGAGAGCTATCCTAGCAAAGCATCATGGGATTTCCTGTGACAGCAGCCCGCTGTAGGGTGAAGGTGACGACAAATAACAAAGACTACACTTGCACCGTGCTGGGAGACGGAGTTAGTCCATCATTCAACAGCTTGCTAACTTCACTTACTTGTTACTACAGCAAAGCGTAGTATCCCCTCGCTTTGCTTTGCCTCGTTAACTCACTTCATTGGATGGAAACACCTCTCATTCACATTTTCACTTGTAAACTTCTTAAGTTTGCTCAAAATTCACACCACATTTGGATGGAAATACTGCTTATGGCACCTTTAGGCTGTTGATTAAGATACCCATAAGAAACATTGCCAGTTAGGCTTTGTGGATGTTAACATTCCCAGCTGCAAGGCACTTCTAAGACCTTTATTATTACATAAAATAATCAGACAGGGAGTGAGGCGATGGACAATCTGAAAGACCCCATTGCCAACCCCAAACCTCTAAAGTAGATGGTACGATTTGTTTGCTGTTTTGACAGGAATTCTCTAAGTTAAAACTACAGAATAGTAAATGG